CCATCATCCTTCCATTTTCATCTTTTTCTTCTCATTTTACTTTTATTCTTCTTTTCTTCTGTTCAATTTCTTTCTTAAGATGATGAAAAATTGTTCATTCAATGAGAGGATAAATCCTTTTTTTACTTTTTTTTCTATCATTCTTTTTCTTTCTCGTCTGTATCTTCATCTTTTTTTCTCTGCTTCTTCTTCTTCTTCCTTTCTCTTCCTTTTCTTTCAATCCAAGTTTAGTCAATTGAAATAATCAATAACTTTGAATAATATAATAGAAGTAAGGAAAATAGAAGAAGGAAAACCATTATTTTCTCGTGTTTTCTGGGAAGGGTGATAAGTACATTAATTTATCTGAATAATAATGGCAAGAAAACAAAAATTGCAGCTTAATTTGTAAAAATTTACTGTCGGAATAATCTTTTTTAAATTTATTCAAAGCAAGTTAAAGAAGAAAAAGGTTTATCATTAAAGCGTATAATATTGTTGAAGATAAACTCCCAAGATAGACTCAAATGTAGCTATAATTAAACAATGATATAATCAGGATTAACATGAAGACTAATGAAATTCATTAAGACTCTCGTCTAGGGATGATTTTGCCCAATTAATGATATTCACTAACCTAAGGCATCAACTGTCTTGGCATCAAATTTATCCTTTTTTAGCTTCAAGTTTTTTTCACCGTAAAACTTAGTGACTATTGCTTCATCTTTTGTGACGGATAAACCTTGACTGTCTTGGGACAACTTTTGCTATTGCATCGGCCTGATCATGGAATGATCAATGGATACGTTAAATAGCTTTCATGTATTTAGTGCACAATAATTGCCAAGTTCAAAGGCATGATTAAATTATAATCAATGGTGAAATTTTTGTGGTTTGATGATGAAAAAAGAGAAACTAATAATAACATGATAAAAGTTAAACAAATTGTTGATAATAAATCAAGTGTAATAAATAAGATGAAAGTTAATAATTCAATAAAAATCTTCCCTTTATATGCACTAGGAAAATATATATATTGAATAAAATGGTTTAGACAAGATGAAAGAAAAAAGAAGAGTGAAAGCAAGATGAGAATGATGATGATAAGGGAAAGATAAATTTGATCTGTGGTCTAAGCATTGAGTATGATAACGTTTTCAGATTCCTTGATAATCCGCTTTTCCCTCCCAGTTCCTGCTACCAATTCTGGCTCTCAATCTTAATTCTCACTCCCAGTCTAACTCCCAGTCTCACTCCTAGCATCACTCCCAGAACTCACTCCCAGTCTTCTTTTTTTTCTTTCGTATTTTTTGACAAGTAAACTCTTCCACTCCAAGCTATCATTATCATCATCTTTTCTTTTCCTTCCTTCCATTGACTTAGTTTTTCCTTGTATGTGACGATGTAAAGATTACTTGATACGGATAATCCAAACTCTAAGCTTACCCTGACCAAGAAATGATGCTTTTCATAGCATTTTACTGTTATCACAATAATAAATATTATTTCTTCTCATTTTACTTTCACTTTTCACTTAACGTGGCCATTTTTTCTGCCTCTCTCAGCTCGTTGACCATTCCACAGACAATATCATTTTTCATTTTTAGTTGCTTTCTCCGAGTTTAACAAGTGAGGAAGAAATTCAGTTGATAACGCGTGCAAAGAGAATCAAGAATAAGAATCGGAGAAAAAGGAGTTTATCTTTTCTTACCATTGTTCAGACGATTCTCTATTCGAATCACATAATTCATATTATCGTTTCTCTCGCAACTTCTCATTTCGCCAACAACAGTTTTTCTTTCCAAAACAATAATCGCTCCCATCATCATTTATACATTATACAATGTTCATCATCTGCCTCTTGATTCCATGAAAAGAAGCTCTTCATTTTTGCCATTGTTTTTTATTTCCATCCTTTCCTCAGTTTACTTCTGGTGATACTTTTTATCATGACATATCTTGGGATATAATCTTGTAATAGGTCAACTCGCTTTTCATTATCGCTCCAATAAACATTCACTGTTCTCAAAGTAAATATAAGATTCCCTTCACTTTTCATCTTCATCATTACTATCATCATCATTGTCATCATTATCATGTTTGCCCTTTTGTTCTATCATCATGTGACTGTTGACTTTATTAATAACAAAAGCAGTTCTCGTTAGCAGCCTTCATCATACAGAAGGAAAAGAAAAGCGGAAAAATGAAAATAAAATTTTCACTTGAATAACCCAACATTACTTGATAACTTATTATCATCATCATTATATACAATCAACTAATAAACCCAATTGACTAGACGACAGTACAATAAACAATTTAACCATTTCAATCAACATTTATTCATTGATAAAATTATTCCCTTTCCATGTAAGAAGAAGAGAGAAAAAAATTAAAGAAATGTTTTTCATTCCCAAATTAATCAATTGGATTAAATGGATTTTATTGTGTTAACATGACAACGATTAAACTCTTGAAAGTCCAAGAGAAAGATTTACTTCTGAAGTTCTGTTCGCCAATTGGCTTCATTGTTATCATTGACTTCCCATGATGATGCCATTGATTCAACTGATCAGTTTCAAATCTAAAGTTCACGCTGAGCTGAGAATTTTCTTCGAATCATATTTTCTTCAAAAGTCAATTGAATTAATTTTCAGGTTCAATCTTCAATTGTATCCATGAGTCGAACAATTTTCATTTCTCTTTTTCTTCTTCTTTTTACCTGATAAATGATTCTTTTTTCTTCAACTTTCATTGTCCTTGTTGAATCCAAAAAGTGTTCAACTTCATTTTACCATGAAATTGACGGATAACAGATTCTTGATTCATTCAATTGAGAATGATGATGATATTAACCATGTTAGCCTTGTTTATTTGTTTGTATCAATCAGCATGAAAATGTTGTTATTCTCACCATGAAACTTCTTTTTCTCTTCAGATTTATCTACTCTCATCAGAATTCTCATCATCATCATCATAATCATTCGGGTTAAATATGAAATAGTAAATGATTTTCTTCTTGGATTCAAACAGGGAAACAAGCAAAATGAATCTCGACTTTTTGTTTGCTCAGTTTCATGATCATTGCAAGATGAAAATGTTTCAAAATTCTTGTGAAAGATAATGCAAGTTAACCAATTAATCAGATTATCTTCGATAAAATTGACTAATCTTGAATTATCATCATCAATCTTTCTGATTCCCTTAATAAAATGTCAATCAGTTCAATCCATTTATAAACTCAATATCTCTTCATTTAACCATTAATCTAATCTTTTTTTACCCTGAAAAAAGGAGAACTTCATGCTCAGGTTTTCTACCTCAGTAAATATATTTACAATGATAACTTTCAATTTCATTTCTACATTTTCATTCTGGGTTCAGTTTGTGGGTGAAGAGGGAAATATTGTTGCTCGATTTTATGATGAAAATGAAACTTTTGGAAAATTTTCTTATTCTTTTCAATTTTTCTCTTCTTCTTCTTCACTCTTGTTCACCTTTATTTTGCTTCGTGTAATAACATTATCAAGCGTTATTTAACCTTCATCCAACAATATCAAAGTCAATCTGAACGAGTAAAGTTTTATTATTATTTTTACTTCATACCTGGAAGGCATTTAATTCACCTTTACAGAATTATTTTTCATTACAGCGAACTCGCAAGTGACTTTAAATGGTAAAAATACATTTCTTTTTTAGCTCATCATGTTAGTTGTTCATTTTACTCTTCATTTTTTTCACATTTTGTTCCATTTTCTCATTTATCGAGTTTCATCATATCGATCTGGAAACGGACAGTAGAACTGTCTTGATCAGATTCAATCAAAACTTAAATCAAATTTTTTTCGAAACTCAATTGAAAAATTTTACTTTTAAATTAATCATTGAAAATGTTGAAAGAAAAACAGAAATACAAAAAAATTTCCAATAAGATCATTCAAGGCTATTTCTCAGTTAAATTTGTATATTGGACTTATTTTACGCTAATTGACATGATTTAGCATCTAAGAGTCTTGAAATTTGAGCAAAGAAAAACATAAGAAAATCATTTATACCCGAATAATATCAGGCTTTAAGAGCAACTATCGACTGAATCGGGTATTTGAGCAACTTGTTTGTAAAGCAAAAATCTATTTTTTCAGTTTGTTGATGTTTAGGAAAAAGTCTACTTCGAAACTCGACAAGGCATTTAAGACATTTTCTTATGAAGAAATAAAGATCGGTATATGTTTGCACAGTCCAGTTGGATGATGCGAAGTAATTAGAGAGACATAAATTTTTTAGTCCATTCAAAATCTTCCCTTAGTTGTAATTCAAGTTAAGTTATTCTGAGTGCAACGCAAGTGATTGTGCTTATGACTTTTGAAAGACATTGATCGTTGTCAGTAATTGCTTTTTTTAGAGAATCGAACTCTTCCATTTCGCTCAGCAGAACTTTGAGTATCTAAACGAACTTTGTAAACAATTTATAAATCCAATAAATCAGTTAAAAACAATGGAGAAAATTCATCAATTATTGGTGAAAATAAACCTAAAATGTTTTCGTCGAAGTAAACAGAGCAAGAAAAAAAGGAAAAAATTTTGTCTCAGAAGCAAAATATGTAAATAATTGATGGTAAAATATCATTTTTAGTAAAAACAGAAACTTGAAAAATCATTCAGATTCGAACTGATCAATATCAATAAACTTTGAACTCATTTAAAAGGTAAACAAAATCAGTTAAATTAAAAAAGTCTTCATTAAAATGATTAAACTTTTTAACCTTCAAAACCATTGGAAAGCATTTCAAGAGTCAAGAGCAGAAAAAGTTTAAACCAGAAAAAAAGGTTCAGAATAAACTTGAAAGGCACTTTAATTAATTTAAAGATTTGCATTGAAACAGGCAATTAATAAACCTGTTGATTACATAAACATTCATGATAACAACATTCAGTTGAACGTTTCTTCAAAGTTCACTCCCAGTCAAGTTGACGCAACTGTTGATGGAAATAATTTAATCTCTTATTCTTCTCTCCTAAAGATTTCCTGGGTTCGTCAAAAGGATCTTCACATTATATCAGCTGGACCTTTTGTTTATACTTCAGATGAACGCTTTGAGCCCAAGCACGTTGACCACACTGACGAATGGTATTTACACATAAAATATGTACAAACGGCCGACACTGGCACTTATGAATGTCAGATTAGTACTGAACCTAAAATGAGTTTACCTTTTTATCTCAACGTTATTGGTAAGATTCACTTTTTTTCGTTCATTTTTTCCTTGTTCATTCTTTCCATGAATCAACTTGATTATCATCACTGAGATTCACAATTTCATGTTCATCAACATCACATCAAAACTCATCATAAATTGAATTACATTTATCAAACTGAATCGAGTTGATTGTAAAGTTGAATCTAGACTCTAATCAGATTCATTTGATTATTTTTCATGTTCTTTTTTCTTCTTCTTCTTCTCATTTATTCAATTGAAACTTGATCCTAATTAAGTGAACAGCAAATTGTATTAACTTAATTTAATCATTTTCACTTGACAATGTTAACTTTTAATGAAGGAAATAGCGAAAGGAGAAAAATGTTAATTGAAAGATTAAAAAGTAATCATTTGGTTCAACTTTAACAAGATGAACAATTTAAAATGAGTGTTGAATTAATGATAATATCAAAAATGGTTTATGGAAACACCAGAAAAACTTGAATTCAATTTCAGGTATTACTGTTAATACGATTAATTAGGGTTGAAATGTTGAACAATGTTTTGGGTTAATGAAGTTGTTGATAATTATAATGATTAAATAATGTAAAGTTGAAGGAAAATAATGAAAAGTGAAAAAATGGTTTCCAGATTGAACCCACTTCTGTTGTTAATTAAACTAATTTTTTGGTTCTGTTTTTTTTTATTTGCTTCAGAGGCTAAATCAGAGATTCTTGGTGGACCATCAACATATTATCAATCAAAGGATACAATTAATTTAACTTGTATAATTAATCAAACTGCTTCGCCACCTTTATTTGTTTACTGGTTCAAAGATAATCAAGTTTTAGGTTTTCTTAGTCAAACGGTTAATCCATCTGATTCACGGATTCGTGTTTCAACCATTAAAGGTCCAATATCCATTAGTACCTTAGAGATAACCAATGCTCGCTCCTCTGACTCGGGCAACTATTCATGTCGACCAGTGCCACAATATGTTGACCCAGCCAATATAACGGTCAATGTGTTGAATGGTGATAATCCAGCGGCAATGCAACACTCCAATCACCATAAAGATCAGGTTACAAGTCATACACTTTTGATGGTTGTACTCATCATGGTTAGTTGGAGTTGCTGGTCTGGCCTTTGCCAGTCAACTTTAACCGTTCAAGGTGTCTTCAGTTGATGGTGGTTCGGTCCATCATTAGGCAAGCACACTAATGGTAACGTTTAATAATGATTACTGCAAGTTTACAGTTTATGTGGAAGGCAAGATGACGATAGGAGACAGTAATGGAAGTTCTTGTTGCTGTTTCTGTTTATTGGTGGCAATCATGATGGTGCATCAATGATGATAATGGCTGTAATAATGTTCAATATAATGACGATGATGAAGATGACAAAAATGATTAGGAAAGTGATCATGATGACGATGAACATAACTGTTCCTTTAAGAGGCAACAAAAACGGGAAACAACAAAACAATAATGAAGATAATGGTTGATGATATTGTGATGCTTTTTGCTTCTTGCTCAGAAAATCTTTATTCGTAAAATCAAATAGACTCATCTTTTGGTGAAACTTGAAATGGTCAACTGGACAAGATTAAATTGGTCATTCTTTTTGCTCATCAATTTCATGAGGAAGACGGAAAAGAATCCATTTCCTATTCGATTCTTTCGCTTTTTTTCAATTCTTCAACATTGGACTTGCAAGTCAACATCAAGTTGAAATTCAATTGTGTTTCAAGATCAAGAATTTACAAAAGTCGAAAATCGATCTCAAGAGATGCTTTTTTGGCTATTTTTCGTTTTCTTTTTACCCGATGAATAGTAAATTTAAAGAAACGCTGACTCGATGTTGCTCAGTGTTTCAAGTTGATGCTGGATTTGGCTTTGAAACTCAAATTGAACCTTGAGTTTTATGTCTTTTTTGGTCCACTTCTGGTAATCATCTAAGCTGATAACAACCCTGAAGGCTTCAATTATTGGAACAGTTCATTTTTGGGTTTTCTCGACTTGCAATTGATTCTCATTTATTTTGAGTCTCTTCTTGTTTCAAGCAAAATCCATTTAATGACTGGGGATAATCATGATGCTTATGATTATTTTATTATGTAATGGTCATTCTAATGATAATTTTACATCATGGTTAACATCTAATTTCATTCATCTAATGTCTCGTTATTGTTATTATTTTGTAAATATTTTTCTTTCTTGTTCTTCTGGTCAAATGTCCGTGCCTTTAAAATAAATTTTTTGTCAATAAAGTATCATTACTAAGAAAGTAAATGTTTCTTTCTCTGTTTTGTTTAACTTTTTGGGTTACTTTTTAATAAATTACAATTGACGGCTAAAATCATTATTTAATGATGGTAAGTCTATTTGTAAATGAGATGTAATTAAATAAAAATGTACAAAATTTCAACTCATTTGTATTCTCATTGCTGGTCAAGCAAATTTAAAATGGCATTAAAGTATCAACATTTTCAAATTTTCTGATTTCCTATTCATTTCAATTACTTTGGTTGAGTTTTCTTATTGATTAACTAAATAAAGATTGGTTTATATTGAACATTAGACAGAGATTCATATTCAGACTGAAAGCCTCGGTAAAACAGTTGAGATTATTTTATTGTCATTTGTCTATTTAACCATTGATTCAGTTATTTGTATTTTCATTTTCTGTCAGAATTTATTTGTTTAATAATTTGATAAATAAATAAAGAATTAGTTTTATTGATATAAATATTTAGATCTTTTATTTTAATTGAAAGTTTTTGTCTACAAGTTTGGGAAATTTGAAAAACGCGGCAAAACTTTCTGGTATTGAACACATTTATTTGCTTAGCAACGCACTCGGAAACGGAAAGCTGTTATAGTTTTGTATTTTCATTTCTGGGTTTTATTTGATTTAAGAAATTTAATCTCAACTTATAACTTTATTTAGTTTAATTAGTTTTCATTTTTTGGTGTAATTTATTAAGTAAAATGGCCAAGTCAAAGAATCACACTAATCACAATCAAAGTAAGTACTTGCTGGCTTTTTACGTTGTGATGTCTATCCTTTCTTATTTGTCTCACTGATTACTTATGTCTTTAATATTTTTTTGTTTTATTTTAGACCGAAAAGATCACAGAAATGGAATTAAGATGCCCAAAAGGTTCCGAAAGGAATCCATGAGAGGGGTATGTAATGAAATTAGTTTGTGATTTGACCTCTGTTATTGATTGTTTTATCTGTTTTTTTTCAGGTTGACCCAAAACTTCTCCGTAATCTTAAGTTCGCACGTAAGGGTAACAAATCAAGGGTTGAACTTGCTGCTATCCGAAAAGAAAGAGGAATTGATCAACCAGCAATCAAAAGTGCTCCAAAAGCAAAATAGACTACTGGAATTGTGTTTCAATGAGATAGACAGTTTTTCAAAATTAACTATTAAATGGATAATTTAAAAAAATAACAGTGTTTTGCTTTCTTCGTGTCTTCCATCGTGCTGATGTTAATTTTGCAGTGTCTATTTCAATCGTGTTTGGACGCTTTAATGTGGACCTGTGTTGCATTACTGAGAATTTGCAAAATGAGATCCTTTACATGTGCTTTAGACATTTTATGCTTCAGCATCTTTATATTTATTTAGAAAAGTTATTAGACAAAATCTGATACAATGTTTCGGGATTTTAACATGAAACAATTATACTAGTATATTATTGAAAAGTGTAATAGAAGATGAAAATAATGAGTAGGTTAACATAAAATCTTTGGAAATGGAAATATTTCACAGTATTTATAGTTCAATACAATTTAGGGTTTATTTCTTTCCAAGTAATTGTATGAAAACTGAGGCTACATTGAAAGTTTGTAAAAATTCATCTGCTCCTTCAAGAAGTCGGTAATCAGCTAAAGCTAATGCTTCAATTAATTCACTAATCTGTTCATCAGTTAATAAACAATTCTCACCAAGAACCCAATCATGAAGTTGATTAAGTAATTGAGCTCCTGAAAAACCTTCAGCAACCATACTATTAAGAACATCTTCAACATTCTCGTAAGATTGTTTTTGGCAAGCTTCGACAAACATATCTATCCAATTCTCTGGTATATAACCTGTCACTTCTCGTACATCATTTATTGTCAATATTTCATCTCCTTTTAAACGATATGCTGTTTGTAAAAATGTTATCGCTTTACGTAAATCTCCACCAGATACTTTTATCAATTCTGTTAGAACAACATCATTTTCCAATGAAATATTTTCACTATTGCAAATTGTTGCCAACTTTTCCATAACTAAATCTTGTTGTAACGGCTTAAATCTAAACTTAGAACATCTGGAAACTATTGGATCGATAATTCTGCTGATATAATTACATATAATACAAAAACGCGTTGATTTTGTTTCCTTTTCCATTATTCGTCTCAAGCAGGCTTGAGCAGATTGAGTCATAGAATCAGCTTCATCCAATACTATTATCTTGAATGGTGGATACTTATTTCCATTTTCACTTCGACTTACAGTTTGTTGAGCAAAACGTTTAACCTTTTCTCTAATAACAGCAATACCTCTTTCGTCGGAAGCGTTCAATTCTAGAATTTATAAAGAAAAATGAAAAAATTAATACATGCACAAGGATAAAAATAAATAAATTGATAATCTTACCTAATACTCTCGATGAAAACTGATCTTGAAACATTTCTCGAGCTAATGCTAAAATTGTTGATGTTTTACCAGTACCTGGTGGGCCATAGAACAATAAATTTGGAAAGTCGTCTCCTTTTAAACATTGTTTAAGGACATTAACAGCTTCTTCTTGATAAACAACTTCATCGATATTTTTTGGACGATATTTTTCAACCCAAGGTACCATAACACGTTTCACTTCTTGTGACATT